GTTTGTTTTGTATGTATACTTTATCTAAATGCCTTTCTCTTTTAAGTTTTTAAAGTATAAATGTGTCATTTCTCCCTTCCAACCTCCTCAGGACTAAACTTCCCATATCCCCGATCCCCACCCTTCATTTCCAAATTAATGGCCTCTTTTATTCTATTAATTGTTACTACAAATACAGATAAACCAACAAATTATATGAATGCTACTTTTGAGTTCATTCAATGTTGTCTATGTGTACAAGTTTTTATGGATGACTACATGGTGTTTTGCACTTTTGATATTTTGTTTGATGCCTTACATTTATAGTCAGTTTTGTTTTGAGAGAAGTATACATAGAAGTAATTTGCAGTCATTATTTAGCTTTGATATTCATAGACCAAAGAGTAAATAAAATTGTTCATCCTAAGAGAATAAAGGTATTTGTCTGGTGTGATGCACAGGAAAATATTGAGTTCAACTGTGTATTACTCAGAGTTTTATAAGTAAAAGAACTTGTATAATGAATCCATCTATGTATACAAACAGATGAGGTAATATTGTGGCTTACACTACTACAGCAGATCCAAGAGTAGTTACTTTTGAATAGAGGTTCCAAGAATTCCAAAGTTGTTCAAACCACAATACTGGATGTCTCTGATGGTTTGGCTAGCATCCTAAAGAATCAGGTTCTAATGCCAGTGAAGCAGTGGACATGCTAAGGAAAGAAAGACTAAGTTAGCAAAGTGAGAATAAGTTTCCTTCTTCCATGCCATTTACATAAGCTACAAGAAGGTATATATTAAAAATGTATATACCAACTTCTAAAAATCTTAATTGAAGGCCTATTTTTCCATCTCAAAGATTCAGAGTAGAAGAAATTTTTTCTTTTAAACTTGTTTAAATAAAAAAAGACCATAGAAGCTTACTATCCCAGGGGGATCTCCATTCTCCCACCACAACTCCACCTCCCTGCGTTAGTCCAGTGTATCCTGAACCATACAGATAAACTTCCCTTCCCATACTCATTTCCCTGCTTGCTGATTCTTCTAGAGAAAGCCAAGCTTCCCTGAGTAATCTGCTACCCAGGAGGACCTTCATTCTCTCCCCACCTTTCTTCCCACCTTCATCAGACTTGTTGACCCTGAAACATACAGGTAAGCTTCCCTTTCTCCACCCTCTGTCCCAGCCAAGAGGACCAGGCATGGGGTGGAAGGGAAGTGGTATTCCGGAGGGGTGGGGTTTGGGTGGCTGACGGTTCCTGAGCACCCCTGGCTCCCAGTTGTAACTCTGAGGCATGGGGTAGTAGGCAAGGTTTCTTACCGGCTGCTCTGAGTGCAGTGGCTCCTCTAGGATGGCTCAGGATAAGGTGTCTCCACAGGAGCAGACCAGCTAGATGTCTGCCCCAGCCAAAAGGACCAAGCATGGGGAGGAAGGGAAGTACTTTCTGGATGGGTCTTAAATTGGGCAATTCATTGGTTTTCCATTCAGTAAATCTCTGCTCCATCTTTATTCATGTGAATCTTGTAGTCAGGAAAACGTTTGGTCCAACCTTGATGTTTTGTTATGGTACACTTAAACAATGGAATACTCTACAGCTATTAAAAACAAAGATATCAAGAATTTTGAAGGCAATTTGATGGAGCTAGAAAATATCATTGTTTCAGATATTCCTGTTAGGAAGAAAAAGCATTAAAAACTTGGGTTAAGTGTCTCAGGTGTGCTTCATTGTTGTCCTTGGCAGGTTTAGAAGCAGTGGGGGAGGGGCCTGCTCTGTCATGTGGTGGCTGGGTACTCTAGCAGAGAGGCCTCCTGTATTCCTTGTTTGTTTTTCTTAGCCAGTAAATCTTAAATGTAGAGGAGAAGAAAGGCCAACGCTGAAGAAAAGCTTAAAGGAATAAGCATAGAGGCTTGATAGGAGAGTCAGAGCTAGAAGGAGTCTGTGTAAGAGACTGAGCCATGGGGGAGACACAGGAGGATCTCAAGTTCAAGGCTAAGCCTGGGCGACCTAGTGAAAGTGTCTCGTGGAATCTGGGTTGGAGCCGGCAGTTCCTGGGAGCAATTCTTCCAGGCCCAACCTGGAGTTCTCAGCCTCGAGAAAGAAACTACCTCAAAACAAAAGGGAAATTTTTCACCCAAGGGGAGAAGTCCTAGAATGAGGGTCTACAAAACACAGGGGTGGCAGGAGCAAGCAGGGTTCCAGGCCTGCTGCTTCAGGCAAACCAGCTGAACTAAGTGGCTGCAGCTGGCTACAAATGACAGAGGAGGAGGGGGAGAAGCCTACACTAGCAGGCAGAGCACGAAAGACTGACCCCTGGGGGACACACGCTGGGGACTAGAGGTTGGAGCCGGTACTCCTGAGAGAGAGGGGACAGTCTGTCTAGGGCTGGCCTGCAGTTCTCAGCTGTGAGAAAGAAAACTGCCTCAAAAGGAAAGGGAATCTCTCACCCAAGGGAAAGAGTCTTAGAACGAGGCTCATGTCAGGTGCTACGGCCTGGAAGACAACTGTTAGCTGTGAAGGAGCCCTCTCTGTGGGGCTGGTGGACGGGCAGAGAGTGGAGACTAGGGGGTTGCCATCATCTTGCCCTTGAGCTGGAGACAGTAGCTTAATGTCAAAGGAAAGAAGCTGGCCAGGAACACATGGAGAAAGAGAGAGAGAGATACACAGAGAGAGGCCTAGTCTTTAGTACTAGGCAGGAGTTAGACGTTAGCTAAGGGGAGACACTGACCAGGAACACATGGAGAGAGAAAGAGGGGGAGGGGGGATAGAAAGAGGCCTGCCTAGTCTTTTGAACTAGGCCGGAGTTACTTGCTGTCCTTGAGTTCCGTGGAGAGGTTCTTCATGGGCGCCAGTGGGAGGTACTCTTGGAGCTGACTTTGCCCACATCCTCCACCAGCTGTGGGGCTGTTAGCTCATGTGTGGGCAGGCATAGGTCTTGTTGAGCAGAGTCGTGATTCCCGAGTGTCTGCCTCCTCAGGTGGCTGCACGAGGCTCTGGGGAGCAGAAACAAGAGAATTTGACTGAGTTCACTCCACGGGATGCCTGGTGGATGCTGGGCTGTGAGAGAAGCCACCAAGGCTTCACCCAGGCATAGAGAGGTCTCAGTCAGAAGTCCCCCAGGGGCAGGGCTCCTGAGTGGGGATCTCCTGGACGAGGCAGCTGATTGGGAGACCGGTGGTCTCTGTCTTTGGGCTCCCAGATGCAGCTGGAAACCACGGAAGAATAGAGACTGTGGGAATATGGGTGGGACTGGCCCACAGCCGAGAGGGACTAGAGGGAGAAGCCCCAACAGCACCCCACAGGTAGAGATTCATGGTTATCATGACTCGCTTGACACTAGCATGGCACTTGCTTGGCTGGGTCGGCTAGCTTAGTTGAGTTGACAGGCCTCCATGGTGAGAATGTAGAGAAGTCCTCCATGAGAGATTAGGTGGTGGCTCAGTAATCAAAGTCCTCCTCCATGGTTCATCATGGCGGGGCCCCAAAGACACGAGGAAGTCCATGGTTTAAAAGGTTTATTGTCATGGCAGAAAGTGGATGAATCTGGCTGCACACCTCCCTCCCCCACCCTGCTTTTCAGGGCAGACTTGAGTTAAATAGGGAGGGAGGAGGGTCTGGGAAAGAATGCTTTACTGGCTATGCCCTCTGTCCTTTAGATATCTCATTAATATGGAAATCTCTTGAGGCTGAGGCCTGTAGTGATGCCCTCTACCTGTGCTGGGTGACACAAACCTCTTTGGGAGGGGCTGTAAGGGCATTGCCCTACATGACTGAAAGGCGCAGATCAATGGAGGTCGGCCATGTGTCAGGAGCCTGGAGTCTGGAAGTGTGGCGAAATGTATGCCAGCCCTTGTAGAGTCTCTGACCATTTCTAGCCAGTGCTCCACCAGAAACCAAGCTATCCTTTCATAGTCCCACAGTTTTAAAGGTTTTATTTTCATGATGGAAAGTGGATGAATCTGGCTGCACCCCTGTATCCCCAGGGTGGGCCTTTGGTTAAATACTGTTTGTAAGGAGGAGGGTCTGGGAAAGAATGCTTAACTGGCTATACCCTCTGGCCTTTAGGTATCTCATTAGTATGGAAATATCTTGAGACTAAGGCCTGTAGTCATGGCATCTACGTGTGCTGGGTAACACAAACCTCTCTTTGGGAGGGGCTGTGGAGAGCTGAAGCTATGTGAAAGGAACCAGGGGCCCAGGAGCAAAGCCAAACACCTTCTGTCCCATTAGGGTCTGGGGTTCAAAGCCTGTGCTCAACCAGGCACCCAGCTGCCTCTCACAGCCCACTGCCCCACAGCCAGTCACCAAAGTTCAGGTGGAATAATGGAAAATTACAGTACTGAACAGAATAATAAATTCAAAGGTTCCTATGTTCTCATGCCCAGAACCAAAACGCAAACCTCTGGAACCAGAAAGACCTTAAATTAAAGATCTTGGATGAAGACTTAAGCCTGGTAGACTCAACACAATAATATCTTGATAACGAAAATGTGTAGACAAAGGGATCAGCCTCACAGAAACAAGTGAAAAATGAGTAGAGACTTGGTAATATATTGGTCCTTAGTTACAGTGTATCAGATCAATTTAGCAAAAGTTGTAGAAGACCACTGGAGCTTAGTAAAGATGAGAGATCTGCTATGAGACATACCTTAAGGAACATGTGACTTGAATCAGTGGAGCTACCTTGAGATTCTGTCCTCCAATTGAAAGAGCATGAATGTGTCTTGATTTAGAACATTGTCCTGGTTTTAACCAACATTGTATTTCCTCCCCTGGATCTGCAATTGTTTCTAGGTTCAAATAAAATGCTGTTACATGTGAATGTACTCTGGCTCAGAAATCAGAGAGATAGCTAGAAATCTGTGAGGAATAGAGAAAAAAATTCCTCTTAAAGAAATTTCAGAGAGCTGTGTATTTATCCAATCCTCGGTACTGGGGAAAATACAGAAATCTCACTTCCCATAATAACAATGATGTAGAAAACCCATGACAGGAAGGACCTGACCTCAAGATAACAACTGCATATCTGCTAATTGTTTCAGATTGTTTCAGGACACAGCTACGAACATTACCAGGACTCACCATGATCACCATGCTCACAGTGCTGCTATACCTTGGTGAGATATGAAGAGGGTGAGTGGACACTTAAACCTGTAAAGGAACCTACTCAACAGCTAGGTTTAATTTCATATGGACACCCCTGGGGATCCACTCTGGCCCTTAATGTTAAAGAGCTCTGAGAGAAACTTTTTTTCCAGGGCTTATTGTGGAACACAGAACTGCAGTACAGGCAGGTGAGTGTCTCTAGAGATCCCAGGATTTGATTCTTCACTCTGATGAGAAAACTTCCATTTTACTGTTAGTGGGTCAATTCCTCCCAATGGTGATGGGGAAAAAGGCATTTATGAGGTAAATTCTTGTTCTCTGGGAATGCCCTGTATTAAGAGCTTGTGTCTACAGAAAGATGTACTGGGGCTCAGCCTTTGATTTCTTTGCAGGAACCCTTCCAAAGCCCATCATCTGGGCTGAGCCAGGCTCTGTGATTGCCATGTATAAACCTGTGATTATCTGGTGTCAGGGATCCTGGGAGGCCCAGGAGTATCTTCTGCATAAAGAGCGAAGCATAGATCCTTGGGACATTGGATTCCCTCTGGAAACCAGAAATAAGGCGAAGTTCAACATTGAATTCATGACAGAAACTTATGCAGACATATATAAGTGTTCCTATAAGAGCACTGCTGGCTTTTCAGATCACAGTGATGCCATGGAGCTGGTGATGACAGGTGAGAGGACACTCAGGGGACCCAGTACCAGGTCTCCCTTAAAAAAGATCTATTCTCCAGGAGCACTTTTCTCAGAGCCTAATCCTGGAGGACAATGTGAGTAGCTCTAATTCATTTTATATACTACCCCTTTTATCCTAGGAGCCTATGAAAATCCCAGCCTGTCAGTCTGGCCAAGCCCTGATGTGACCTCAGGAGTTCCCATAGCCTTTAACTGTAGCTCATCCTTGGGATTTGGCAGATTCATTCTGATCCAGGAAGGAAAACCCAACCTCTCATGGATTCTGAACTCACAGTATCAGGCTAATCAGACATTCTATGCTACTTTTGTTCTGGATGCTGTTACTCCCAACCACAATGGAACCTTCAGATGCTATGGCTATTTTAGGAATGAACCCCAGGTGTGGTCAAAATCAAGTAACCCTCTTGACCTCATGGTCTCAGGTAAGCACCCACACCTATCATCTTTTTGTGTATTTGATCACTTTGGTTTCTTTCCTAAGATGATTTGTAGCCTAGAATAGGGGGGAAAGTGTTCCTGGAGAGTAGATCTTTTTTAGGAGAGACCTCATACTGGGTCCCCTGAGTGTCCTCTCACCTGTCATCACCAGCTCCATGGCATCACTATGCTCTGAATAGCCAGCAGCACTTTTATAGGAACAGTTATATGCTCTGAGGTTAAAAAATCTCTTTGTGTCAAAACATTATCTGCTCATTACAATATTAGTGTACAGAATACACTAAAGTAAATAAGTTCCTCGAGGATTCACTGTAATTTAGAATATATAGTTGAAGGTGACATAAAATTCACAAAATAATTAGAAATTGTCTCTGTCCTACTTAGATTCTACTGTTGTGGTAAATCACCATGATCTAAAACAACACAGTGAGGAAAATGTTTATTCCGTATGATTGCTTATAGTCCATTATGAAAAGAATTAGGGAAGATTGCTTTTTTCCCTAACATCAAGATCTAACTATCCAGGATCATAAATACCCATGGTTGTTTGCTGTTCTACAGCAATTATCATTAAATCAGAGAAATCATCCCACATTTTGCCTCCAGACCAATATGGTACACATTTTTTAATTGATGTTGTCTCTTTCTAGATAATTATAGCTTATATCAAGTTAGCAAATATCTAAAGAGAACATCTCGTCAATGGTAGACTTGGTCCTTTATTCTTATTTGTCTTTATTTCATAAAATACTGTGCCCAGACTCATGGTAATAACTGGTCAACAGAGGCATTTGGTACTTGTAGTGCTCACACTTAAACAAGTAATTCTCAGTTCCTCAGAGTTTCTATCCTCTTCAGAATTCAGTGATATGCTTTATAGAAGATTGGTGGGCAGAGCTCTGATCTTCACAAATGTCCAAGGATCCAGATGCACAAAATTTGTATACAACAGCATGATAGCCAAGTGAACTTACAGTGCAGATCGAGGACCCAGAGAAAAAGACAGGGCATAGACAAAAGCTGGGAGCTCAAACATTCACTTCTCCATCCATCTTTGGCAGATCCTGTTGACCAGTCCTCTACCCACATTGAAGATGGTAAGTGACGGCTCTCCTGACAGGGGTTGAAGCAAGTGTTAAGATCATTATGTGTTGGTTTATCCTCCTCTGAAGTTGAGAGGTGGGCTAACTGGACCTGCTCTCCACTTAGATGACCTGTTCCTTACATAGCTTAGGCTTCAAATGTAGGCTCTACCTACATTTCAGATCCTCCTTTACTCCACCTTTTATTGCCTGCTTTCCTGATATCTTTGATGCGGTTTCCTTCTAGGCTTTGGCTCCTTGAACAAATTTTAATGAGTGATGGACAGAAATCACAATGTTCTTTTAAGATTCATGCATGAGGAAAAACATCTTCTCTGACCTTTTCTCTTATTTCTCCATGATAAAGCAACGGGTTTTCTCATACATTCATATAATTTTCGCAAATTTTTGATTCTCTGCTGAAACTCAGACAATGAGAACATGCAAAAAGCATGATCTTATAAGAGTCAGGGGAGAAGGAACTTTCCAAATAAAAGATAGACATAAATGGTTTAGTTCTGTCAAGGGGAGGGGAGTTTTGTGCATAAAAACTTAGTGTGAGAAAATTTTGGTGTGACTGTACTTCTTTGACCTCTTTATGCAGAAGCCCCAGCCTCACACCACCGAGATCACACAGTTGAGAATCTCATAAGGATGGTTTTGGCTGCCTTGGTTCTTGTGACTCTAATGATGCTGCTGTTAGAAGCTTGGAACTTCAAGAAATTGGAACAAGATGCAACCAGGACATAAACAAGAAAGATCACTAGGCTCCACACTTGAACAGACCACGGAAATAAGTTGAGTGATCCCATACAGCTGTGTAAAATCAAACTAGGTGTACCTTATGGTTCTACATTCAGAGAAGGTCAAAGCAGTAAATGTGACCTGAGTGTAGGGAATTCTGGGGATTTCATTCAAGAGCACTTTGCTTGTTCCACTGTGCTCCTTTCCCCACTCTGCACTGTGAATATTGGCTCACTTCTCTTCTGACCCCCATGCGTTATGTATCCTATGAACCATCACTCTCCATCAGCTTCAAATAACATTTCCTCTACATTGCCTGAGTCAATACTCTTCAGCATGAGTCTTTAATTTTATTACTGAGAAAGAGAACATAGTTGAAACAAGCACACATATTGGAAAGAGCCAGATTCCAGAATGAACAAAATTAATGACAATGATGCTCTTGAACTCTCTCTGAAATCTTCTTTAACTTCAACGCTCATTACTAGAATTATTTGATGACTCCTTTTAAAAATATCATATCTGCCTTCAAGTCAACGACCCTATTCAGAACTAAAGAGATTGCATACTATTGCCTTGATTTTTAATGTTGCCACAACTTTGATTATGTTCTTTGTTATTTTAAAACACTTGTACAGGAGAACAGGACAAACTTACATTAACCATACTCACAGTTTGTACATCTCCACAAACTTCAGTGAAATTAGGACAGTTATTCTGCAGCTGTGCGCTTTACATTTTATACTTCCACTCATAAAATACCACTTTATTAAACAGGGTCTACATTTAGTATTTGCTAATCATTGTGTACATTACTTAATAGTAACTCTTAAATCCTAATTAAAGTCACATGTGGGTAGTTCAGAAGTGATACATACTTAATGTTTTCCTTGTAATTTCAAATCTCACTATTCATTGATATTTACTCAAAAGGCAATTGTTTTGTAAATGAATGATACAATCATGAATTTTGAATATTAACTTTTCCCCTAATTTGGGAAGCATGGTTTCTTTTTAAAGATTTTTTTAAATTTATCAAAAAAATTTCGTGTAATGTATTTTGAACATATACTCTCCACAGTCCCTTCTCAATATTCTCTCATCTCCATATACATTGAGAGCTTCTGAGAAGATAAATAGTTTATTTAAAATTACATCTTTATTCCTTTGTTAGCTTATGTATAGTGGCATATCTCTTTGACAATTTATCTCTTCTAACAGAAAAATATGCATACTTTTTGACTTTATTTACTTTATTTGTCTGAGAAGGGGCACGTTGTATCTTATCTTTAGGGGACATTTCTGACTTTATCAATTAATACAATGTCATTTCCAACGTTTTCAAATGTGATATCTTTAAAAAGATATTTTACATTCCTTACTTCCTGTGAGAATTTATAAGTAATTGCTATTTCACAATGAAAACGCTGCATCTTCAATGATCTTTACATTTGTTCTTTTCTACAGTGCTGTTGCATTGAATGTCTTTTCTGTGTTTTTAAATAGTGAATATTTATTAACTAACAATTCTATACATTTATGGAGTATACTTGTATTTACATACCACTGGAAACTCTTATTTTTTTCATCATGTATCATTAAGTTGTAATATATGACCAAATGCACTCTTAGATAATATTTTCATTCTGATGATGTAATAGGGCAGACAAAGCACCAGGGCAGAGTTTCAGAAGGGAACATATGGAACCAATGTTACGTATGTGTTCAGATGCAAGTGAGATATCACTATGAACTGTATAAAAAAATACTGTTGGAGATTTTTGAATTTTATTGTTTCACTATTTCATATATTGATATGATGCATTTAGTAATTGTCAAGCATGCTTTTGTCCTTATGGCTTACTCAACTCCTTACAATTAAATATAAGGCAGAGCCATAGAAGGCTTTCAGGAGAAAACTGGAAGCTTTTTCAACTGCTAATTAAACATGAATAAAAGGAACTTGTGAGAAAAATTGCACAGTGTGCACTCAATCAGCTAATGGTATCAAGGAGCTCTTCATTTATGCTTTTTACAGCTGGTGGAATTTACAGTTATGGTAGATCTTATCTTATTCTTTCATTGCAGAAGTTTTCCATATTTACTAGAATGCAAGTATCTACCTTACAGTTCATTATACAAAGAGAAACAGAGAATAGAAACTCCACTGGCACCATTTAGACCAAATACACACCTGTAATATAAGAGCTTTTTAAATCTCATCTTGAGACACAAAACTCGACACTGATCATATTTGAATTGATTTTTCAATTACGAATATCAAAAACATTATTTATAATGATTTACAAAAGCAGCAAAGAAACCAATGACATGTAATGACAATTCTTCTTGCTGCTTCCTCATTCAGATGGCAAAGCAGGACACAAATACTTCTTGCTAGGTAAGCCAACAACAGTATGAAGCATAATAATTACATGTAGCATTTAGATAAGTAAAAATAAGCAATGCTTTCATTATTTTTCTTTCATTAATTTATTTTTTCTTCACTTTACATTTAGGATGTTTTCACGTTCCTTTTCTCCCAGTCCCAGCTTTACAAATTATTCTCTCATTACAACCTCCCCTTCTCCTCAGAGAGTAAGACCCTTTTAGGTACCATGCTGCCATCAGATACCAAGTCTAAGCCGGACAAATCATCTCTTATCCCACAGAGACTCAACAAAAAAGTTCAAGTAGTTGTGGATGGTTCTAATGACAGCCCTGTGACAATTGTTAAAAGATCCAAATGAAGACCATGCTGCATTCTGCCACACATGTGTAGGGGACCTATGTCCAGCCACTGCATGATGGTTGGTTGTTGGTTCAGTCTCCTTGAAACCCATGGACCAAAGTTTTTTGATTCTGTAGATATTCTTTTGGTATCCTTGACCCCCTTTAGGTCACTTAATACTGTCCCTGATTCTTCCACAATACTCCCCAAACAACACTTGATGTTTAGTTGTGAGTCTTCGCATCTATTACAGCCAGCTACTGAATGTCTCTCAGGAGACAGTTATGTTAGGCTCCTGACTGCAAGCATAACAGAGTATCATTAATAGTGTCAAGGTTTGGCTCTCTCCTATGGGACACGTATTAAGTTGGGCCACTCTTTGGTTGCCCATTCACTGAATCTCTGGTCCATCATTATTCATGTGAATCTTGTAGTCAGTGCAAAATTTGGGCCCAAGATTCTGTGAGTGGGTTGATGTCTCCCTCCCTCCACTGGAAGTCTCACTTGGCTGTGAGTGGTGGCCACTTAATTTTCCATATCCCCCATGCTATGAGTCTTAGTTATGGTCACCCCAACAAACTCCTGGGAGCATCCCCATATCAGATCTCTAGTTAATCCCGGAAACAAATATTTTTATTTGGTAAGCCAAAAACAATATGACTCATAAAAGTCCCATGTTTCATTTAGGTAATTGAAATTATGAGATATTTACTTACTTTCAAATGGCAAGCTAACCATTCAAACTCAGATCAACTCATACCAGAAGGCTGTATGTATTCTATGTTCTGGAGATTGGATAACAGCATATTGAGTTCTCACTATAGTTACTATAAAGGAACAAAAACATGTTCATAATTCCCTGGCTCTACGATAAATGAAATAATGTCATTTTGATTAATTAACTAATTTATTTATATCCTAATTGCTTCCCCATCTGGTTTCCCTTTATGGTTCTTCACTTCATCCATCTAAGAGGGTTGCCTCCCTGGATATCCCCTGACCCTAGTGCATCAAGTCTCTGCAGGATTAGGCACATCCGACCCCACTGAGGCCACACCAGGCAGCCTTCTGCTATGTAAGTTCCAGGGGCCTTGAGCAAGCTCCTGTTTTATCTTTGATTTGGGGCTTTCAATCCTTTTCTAAGCTCATTCATGGGGTTCTTTACCCCCATCCAATGTTTGGCTGTGGGTATCTGAATCTTAGTCAGCTTCTGGGTAGAGCCTCCCAGAGGACAGCTACGCTAGGCTCCTCTCTGCCACCACAACATAGTATCATTCATAGCATCAGGGATTGATGGATGGCCATGGGATAGGTTTCAAGTTGGGCCTGTCACTCTTTGGCAGTTCCTTCAGTTTCTGCTCCATCTTTGTGGCTGCATTTCTTTTTTTCTTTAACATCTTCTTTAATAAGACATTATAGCACAAGTGAAGTGGCAAGTGTGTCAGTTAAACATGGGGATGAAAATGGAAACATGTTTAATGTGAACCTCATTCCTTTTGACAACTAACATAAATACAGAATACAAACAGATCAGTCCCCTCTTGCTATTTTATATCACCTTTGAAGACACCAAAACAGTTTTTAAACAAACTTTTTTATTAATAGAATCTCCAAACAAAATTACAAAGATGTTTGAGTTGTCACTTTCTCCTTACAACAGATTTAACTGGAACACAAATTAGGACCATGCTGGCAATCCCCATGTTAAGAATGAAGATCTATCAACCAATCCCTATCACTGAGATACAGGGTGAAATATGGTGTCTTCAGCTGCTCATAAAACAGTTAAATACAGATTGAAAAATGTTTTATTCTGCATTACAATTTTTGGTATGTGTGACTAGCACAGCCATGTATAAGACCCCACTTTAAGTCATGTGGGGTCAAGAGCAAAATTCTGTGCAGTATTATAATAATGTGCTTTTCTCTCAGATCCAACATTCATTTCTGTTTGGGAGCTTATGTGTAAACATTCACTTCATTGACTTCTATGCCGTAAGATGAAATACGTTCTATATTTCCTGCTGTCTCAGTTTCCAGTTCTCCCTCCCACCCAAGTTTCAATTCTTGAGGAAGATGTTTTATTAATTCTTTTATGCATAAGAGAAAAGAGGATATGAGAATTCAGTGCCTACACTTGACCACTGGAGCACACTCATACTACTTGATCATATGCCAGACATGTATTCTTGGAATTCAACAACAACAACAATAACAAAAAACTGTCCAATGCTTGATTTATTCTCGGCCTTGTGTTCCTCTGTGCTTTCATTATCTAGTCTTATATTTTGAAATTATTTATACATTTCATTTGTTTTTGAAAGAGACAATATTAATATTATTTTCTGAGAAACAGAGTGGCTTTAATAGAGATATACATTGTATAAGAAATAATCTATAGGACTGGATCTACCAAGGTGGAACAAACTCAGCTGAAGTGTACCCCCAGCTGGCGACCCACAAAGACTCACATTGGAATTCTGTGAGTAACCCCTGACCTAGTAAGAAAGACTAGGCCTTCCTCTGATGTCTCTCTTTCTCTTTGTATCTCCCTGTCCCTCCTCCTCTCTCTCTCTCTCTCTCTCTCTCTCTCTCTCTCTCTCTCTCCTTCTCTCCCTCTCTCCCTCTCCCTTTTCTTCTCTCCCTCTCTCTCTTGCTCCCCTTATCCCTCTCTCTCTCTTTCTCTCCCAGCATGTTCCTGGCCAGCTTCTCCCCCCCCCCCCCCGGGGGTGACGGGGGGGTACGCGGTCCAAATCTTATTTTGAACTTAACTTGCTCTACTAGATGGCTACTAGCCTTTTCTTTCTTGCCCTCCCCCAACCCCACAATGAGGGCTCCTAGATAGCTAGTGGAGCTGCCTTTCAGAAGGCAGAGCCTGCCCTGAGCTCTCTGCTTCCTGTGTCTGCAAGTGGACCAAATCCACATTCCCTGAGGTTCCCTGCAGGCCAAAAAGCTAGATCCACCATAGTTCTCTTGCACTGGTCAGCAGGCAACTGCCACTGGGGCTAGAAACAGACAGAACACAATCTACTTTCACAGGTCAAACCAACTATGATGATTACCATTATTCAGTTTGTAATTAACACCCAGTTTCCTTTTACCGACAAACTGTTACTGCCTATCCCAGATACATAGTTAACATGCTATTTTCTTCCACAGCCATCCAAAGCAGACTTATAGGATAATTTCCTTGACTAAATTCTTCAAACACCCTTGCTTTTCTAGGATCATAACAGCAGACCATGATGTGCTCATGAGCAAATCATCACAGGCTTAACAAACTACCCACCCTATGCAGACATCTTCCTGCTGGGGTTCTGCCCCTCTGTTGTGATTACCCTACAGGCTTATCCCCACAAAAGAAAAGGACAATGCTGCTACCACAGATCCAGGGGAAACAATGCCATCTCCTGGCACTTGCCTGGGACAGCAAAGCTGCTTTCCTTCAGACACCTCATCTGACTGAAGACTCCCAAGATACATGCTGAGATCCAGAGATATGCATTGAGTCTCACAGAAGACAGACTTGGGACCTTCCAGCTACAGATGAACTCTCTTGCCAAAGTCAAATGGCTATTGAACTTGGGGAAAGTTACATGATAGTAGGGAAAACACGATGCCTACTTAGATTAATCAAATGTTTAAAACTGATGTTAATACCCTCAAACTGTACAACCCATGGAAGATTTATTGGTTCAATAATCCCTTGTCTTCCCAACCTGCACCTTCACTCCTCTTTACCCATCTGGCTTAGTTGTGCTAGATTCTGGCCTGTTTAGTGTTTTCTTTTGGTACTTCTACCTCACTCAAAATTTTCATGACAAATGACACAGTCACTCCAGTGACCTCTCTCTTTTAAAAAAGTAAAAGGGGGAAGATGTAGGACTGTGAAAGGCAGCCTGGTTCCTGGTCGAGCACAGGCTGGAAACCCTGGTGATCTTGAGTGAAGGAAGGTGCTTTGCCACGCTCCCAGATACCAGGCTCCTAACATGAGTCCACAGCCTTCCATAGTATTGTGGACATCAGTCACATAAGGGCAATGTCCCAAGACCCTCCACAGGTAGAGGATGTGACCTGTGGAAATGTAGGCTCAAGACAGATCTCCATTTTAATGAGGTAGCTAAAGGCCTGAAGAGCTTAGTCAATTAAGTTTTTCTTCCCAGACACTCCTCCTTGCAAAAGGTATTTAACCTCAGGCCTGCCCTGAGAAACTGGGGTACTGTTTTACTCATCCACTTCCTGCC